CCCCCTGATGTCATACGCTAGCTAGTACCATTTCCAACCGTGGAACTCATGGTGTCTACCACAATGAATGTGTGTGTGTGTTTAAGACGTGCGCTTGATGTGTGAATCATCCTACACATAGAGTCCTAGAGCACAGCTCAAGCTAGTTGTAGTCGGTACTATTCGTTTTTGTTGGCCGGTTGGGAAATGGACCGTTTGGTTGGACTTGGTACCAGTCGATTGGGATTGGTCCGACATGCTGTTACACCCCGCGGGTTCCCCCCCTCACCTCCCCTGGGCCCCTCCCCTCCCCCTCTGGACCTCCCCCCCTCGGCGGGGGAGGGAGCAAAGAGAAGGGGCTTCCCCTCGATTCGATTACGACGTTGCTCGATTTCCCTCTGGCTGGGACGCTTTGGGGGGAGCAGCGACGGCCACGACGCAAACGGTGAAGCCTCTCGCACACGCCGACGGGGTCGGCGGATTTGGAAGGAAGAGCGGTCCTAGGGGAGGGCTCCGGACCTTCCGGGGCCGAGGAGCGTCTCCTCCCGTCTCCCCCTCCTGCTCTTCTCGTCGTTCGCTCCCCGGTGGCCCAGGTTCGCCAGGCTCGGGGGTGGACAGACCTCCTACCCTGACACGCCGATTGGTGAATTGTCCGTTTTCGGTTCTCGAGAGGGCGCCGCGGCCTTTATTTTCCAGGCTTGCGCCCGCCAGGTTCGGGCCCGAGGTCGTTTTCACTAAGCCACGTTTTACTAAAGGGGGGTCAGTTCATCCCCGACAGGCCACTTCTTCTCACCAGAGTGCCGACGCGAAAGCTGTTCGGTCATTTGGGGGCCGTCCGGATAAATTGTGGGGCGCTCTGGGCAGCTCTAGAGAGTTCCCGAGGCCGTCTTGACAGTATCTTCGGCCGCCTGGGAACGATCTTGTCTTGCTTCAGCACCCTCTAGGAGGAAGCCGCGGTAGAAGTGAGCTCGAGGCGTTTGGGAGGCAAGAAATCGAAAAGGACGTTTTTTCCCAAGAAGGGGTGCTTCCCCCTGGGGGGGGGGGGGGCTCATAACCCCTGGGCCCCCCCCCCTACCCGCTCTGGCCAGCCCCCCCCCCGCCCTCCTGGGAGCCCCCTTCCCAGCGGGGGAGGGATCAAAGGAAAGGGGTTTCCCTCGGACTCGACTGCGAAGTTGTTCAATTTCCCTCTGGCTGGACCGCTTGAAAAAGAAAGCCCAGGGAAAGCGGGGGAGCGGCGACGGCGACGACGGCGACGACGACGACGACGACGAAAACGAAGACGACGACGACGAAGACGACAGCTCAAACGTTAAAGCCTCTCACACACGCCGACAGGGTCGGCGGATTTGGGAGGGCTGTTAAGCACGGAAGGTGAGCCCCTTACAGAGCTGACACGATGGCTGGGAGCGGCAAACGGAGCTTGTTTTCAAAAAGATGTGCACCATTTGGAATCACGAGAATCTCAGTAGGACGCATTAGCAGCAGATTTTGGTACATGGTGTATGTTCGAGGTTGTTGTGTGGTCTGGAGTCGTGCATGCTTCTCAAGGACAGGAACAGACAGCTTCCAAAAGATCTACAAATTGCCTGCCTGCGTGTCCAGAGTCAACAGCGCGGTGGTGAGGCAAACTGCTCAGGCCCCTCGGCTATATGTGGGCCGTTTTTTATACATGCTCCGCGTGCGGAACATGTATTACAAATGCAGGGATTTAGTACTAAACACAACGATGAGGTCATGCATGAAATTATTCATACATTAAACATGTATTAAAACATCATATCTTTTTTAAACCCTATGGATTAAAAACTGCCCTGTATGGGAAATCAGCCCAGGACAGCAGGGCGAACGTCCCGAAAGCATTGTCGTTCCAGAGTGGGCAGCGCCACGAAGCACTATCGAGATCTGTGGGCAGCGCCCTGCCTCGGGGGTGCCTTCGCTTGCCACGGACATCGTGTGTACGTTCGCCTGCCGTGGAAGTGGCCGCTGGCAGCTCCGACGCCCTTCCACGCTTGTTGCAGAGCTACGGGGTGGAAGTCGGCAGTTGCAGAATATTGTGGAAACGTGTGCCTAGCCTCCCTCATGTCTCCCTCCGCCTCGCCTCCCCCCCTCCCCCGCTTTGCCCCCTGACGCGCCGCGCAGCTAATTTCCTCGTACTAATTACGCCGGAGCAAAGCACAACGGCAGGTCCCCGAGGCACTGTGCTGCTACAGCTGCCGCAATGATCTTTCGCATTTTTCTCCACGAAGGCTCGCATGTGCTTTGTCAGGTCTTGACGTAGCGCCGTCAGGGCGCGGTTGTGTGTGTGTGTCTTCGGCCCTCCCGCCATTGCGCCTGGGTCGTGTTCCACAGGTCTTGGGTACACTCGCGGGTTCCTGGAGGGTTTTTCTGAGGGCCTTTCTGGCCCGCTGGGGAACGTCTCGTGGCCCGCGGTGAACTTTTGGGGGGCCTTGGGATCCTGTTCTTGGGATCATGTTGGAAAGGTTGGTTACAAGCGGTGCGACGGTGGCCCGCTTCTGAGCGGCCTCTTCGGGGCCGCTTATATTTGGCCAGCCTGACGCTCTCGCGACCGATGCGACGAGGATGCTAAGATCACACAACCCATGGGATTCGGCAGCTTGTCCGTCACATATATATATATATACATACATATATATATATATATATATATATACATTTGTATATATACATATATATATATATATACACATGCATCCTCCAATGTATTGTTCCTGGCCCTCAGGGGAGGGTGGCGGTGTACAAATTACCACTGAGAGCCAGCGACTCGACACACCGCCGTCTTCCCTGAAGGTACATACAAAGTTCGTCGGAGGGTGTCTGTTTACTTGGCATCGCTCGGACGTGCGCATTTTGTTCGGCTGTGGCCATCGAAAAGCATCCTCGACCATCGGGCCAACAGAACACGAACGGAACCGAATAATGCACAGGGAAGGGACGTCCGAGCGTTGGCGAGTGTGTGTATGTATATATTTAGTATGTATGTATGTATTGTAATGTAATGTAATGTAATGTAATGTATTGTATTGTATTATTATATTGTATTATATTGTAATGTAATGTAATGTAATGTAATGTAATGTAATGTAATGTAATGTAATGTAATGTAATGTAATGTAATGTAATGTAGTTAATGTAATGTAAATGTAAATGTACATGTACATGTAAATGTAACTGTACATGTAATGTAATGTAATGGAATGTAATGTAGTGTAGTGTAATGTAATGTAATATAATGTATGTATGTAAGCATACATGTAATGTATGTAATGTATGTAGCGTATGCATATATGCATGAATCTATCTATGCATGCATGCATGCATGCATGCATGTATGTATGTATGTATGTATGTGTGTATATATGTATGTATGTATGTATGTATGTATGTACATATATATATATATATATATAGTCGTGGCGCATCTCGGGCCAGCCCCGAGGGCCTCCAAGACGCCCCGCCAGATTCTCGCGGGTGCCGACGTTGGCCGAGGCTGGCCCCGCGAGGGCTCCAGCGGGCCCACGTGGCCCCAAGAGCCCCAAGACGGGCCCATAGAGCTGCACGGGCCCCTCGAGGCAGACCCTGGACGGTCCCAAAGCGAGCTCCCGCACGGCCTCGGCCCCCTACAGCCGACCGCAGGAGCCCCATAACAGCCCCCCAGGATCCCATGGCGTCCCCAGACCGGGGCAGGAGGGCCCCGCGCGGAGGCCCACGTGGCATCGCGCGAACGTGTGCATGTTTTCGCGGCAGGGACTCTCGAGGAAAATGTTGGGTCATCCTGCGACGAAAAAGCACGCACGAATCCAGAAAATGCACGGGGAATGAGCGGCCCAGCGATGGCGAGATGGGCAGGCCAGCCTCGAGGTCGCCGCGCCATTCCAGGGAGGGTAGGTCCGAGGAGGAAATGATATCCATACCGCCACCCTTCGCCCGTTTCCACCTTTTTTCGGCCTCCTGGGAGGCCCTCGCCATCACCGCTGGATTCGCCTCGAAGTCCTGGTCAGAACGCACCCCGGGCGAGGTCCGAAGGGTACAGTCGACCCGCATAGTCAGGATCGGCCACTTTCCCAAGAGTACGCTTGCATCCTTGCCTCCTCGGCCCATCCTTGGCCAGTTTCGTTGGCTGCACCCCGCTCGAAAAGCTTCGAAGTGGGCGTAAAAGGCCCTTGCATCCTTATCGCGCATCCTCATGAAACGAGCCGACTGTAGCGGCATCGGTGCCACTCGGTTTCCCCAGGAGAGGCGGGCGGGCGCCTTTCCCCCCGGGACCCCCGAGGCACCTCCGGGACCCACCCCCCGTGGCGGGAAAGGGATCAAAGGGAGTGTCGATGATCCCCAGGCGGTGCCAATGCGTGATTATCCCTTCCAGCTCCATCAAGAGCAGACAGCCTGTGTCGGTCGTCATTACACCGTCTGTGTCGTAGCGGAGGGCTTCGGTGGACAGCCACCCATTGGCGCTAACACATTGTCGGTTGATCACCGAGAACGGCTCTCCTTGGGCTCGATTGCAGTTTGGGTCGATCGACATCGGGTTGGAGTGCTTGGGGACCCCTAGATCGCCGCAGTAAAATGATGGGAGAGTTTTGAATCGAAGAGCGTCTCTTGGAAGCACAATGGGACGACCACCCCATGCCTCCCCCTCACACACGCCGACAGTGTCCTTGGATTGTCTTTTCTCGCTTATCGAAGCTCACTTCTCGGTCGCTGCTTCTTGCTTCTCGCTTGGCGATCATCGCCTTGCGTATGTCTCTCTTTTTTTCCCCCTGACTTCTCGCTCCTCTCTTCAATATTCTCTCCCACTTCCATCCCACTATCTCCTCTCGCTTTCTCTCTCTCTCTCTTGTTCTCTGTCTCTCTTTCTTGCTCCCTCTTTCCTCTCTTCTCTCTTTCTCTCCTCTATTCCTCTCTTCTCCTGTTTTCCATCATCTCCTCTCAGTACCTCCCCTCGCTCGCTTCGTCCCCTCCCTCCTTCGCTGGCAGTGCCCAGACGTCACTCGCCAGCCCAGGCGGCGAAGGCGATGTACACTGGGGGCGACCTGCGCATGGAGGGCTCGTCGCCGTACTGCCACCTGGCCATCGCCCTTGAGTCCGTGCCGTGGGGCCAACAGGAGACCCCTCGGAGCTGTTCGCAAAAACAAAAGTCAAGGGAGGAAAAATCACCCGGACCCGATACTTGGCGTTTACTGAGCAGCCCTGGGTGTTTATGAAGCAGCCCTGCCCTGTTCGATTCCTTCCTCGGGTGCGTTTACTGAACGGCCTCGCTTGTCGGGGTGGTTACTATGGGGGTGGATTCTTTGCCTTCTGGAAAGGCTGCCTGAGCATCAGTGAAACCTTGGGATGTCCGCCGCGGACCTCTCGAGTCGCCGGTGCACCCGCCCTGGCGGAGCCGCCGGCCCCGCCCCCGGCGCGCTGGGCAGGCCCAGGGATGGGGTCCGGTGCCGGCCCGAGGAATGCGCGCGGACCTCGGAAGATCACGTCGATGTGCTTCTGCTGTTTCCAGCCAATTTTGGGAATCTCTGAGTGTATACGTCATAGGCATCAAGGTGGTTTGAATTGTCATTCTGTCAGGTGGTGTGCTGTTTCTACTTCTGCTTGTTGAACATGTTCTTCTGAGCAGAGCCTCTAGTGAAGCAGCGGTAGGAGTCTTGTGCTCACACAGGCCGCATCCAGTCCAGTCCAGTCCCCGATCCAGGGGAGCGGGATCCAGGAAGGCCCCGCTCGCCATGATGCCAGACAGTCTGGGTCACCCCCAGGGGCACGAAGAGAACCGCGCGTCGCGCATCGCGGCTCGGATTGGAGATGCGCCCTTCTACAGGTGAACGTTTCCTTATTCAGCGTTTCGACATTGGGCGGAAGGGGAGGGCTCCAAGATCCCTTTTCATAGGCGCCTACAAGGGGTCATTCCCACAGGGAATTGCCCCGTTAGGGGAACAACCGTGTGACCATCTTGACGCGTACCAGAACACCATTCTCAGGATAGCAACGCCACGAATTAACGTGATTATTACGTCTTGGCGGTCCTGAGTCGTGCCAGAACACCATTCCTGAGACTTCAACACCGCGAATCAACGTAACTGTTGCGCCCTGACAATTCTCAATCGCTGCAAAACGCCACATCTGGTACGCTAGCAATGAGAATCAGTGAATTGTTGGCGAGTGTTTGACAAGAATGTGTGCGGTGCTCAGACGAGATCCACACATTGAAAAGGAACCACCCTCAATCCGTGAAACTCTTCTGCAAATATAAGTCATCCCAGTGCGACCCTACCTAGGAGTTGGAGCCCCTAGGAAAGCAGCATTAGTAGTAACAGTAAAGCTAAACTAGCTAAGTTAAAGCTAAGCTAAAGCTAAGCTAAAGCTAAACTGAAGCTAAGCTAAAGATAAGCTAAAGCTAAGCTAAGGCTAAGCTAACACTAAGCTAAAGCTAAACTAAAGCTAAGCTGAAGCTAAGCCACAGCTAAGCTAAAGCTAAGCTAAAGCTAAGCTAAAGCTAAGCTAAAGCTAAGCTAAAGCTAAAGCTAAAGCTAAGCTAAAGCTAAGCTAAAGCTAAGCTGAAGCTAAGCTGAAGCTAAGCTGAAGCTAAGCGAAAGCTAAGCTACAGCTAAGCTAAGGCTAAGCTGAAGCTAAGCTAAAGCTAAGCTAAAGCTAAGCTGAAGCTAAGCTAAAGCTAAGATAAAGCTAAGCTAAATCTAAGCTAAAGCTAAGCTAAAGCTAAGCTAAAGCTAAGCTAAAGCTAAGCTGAAGCTAAGCTAAAGCTAAGCTAAAGCTGAGCTAAAGCCAAGCTAAAGCTAAGCTAACACTAAGCTGACGCTAAGCTAAAACTAAGCTGAAGCTAAGCTAAAGCTAAGCTATCACTAAGCTGAAGCTAAGCTAAAGCTAAGCTGAAGCTAAGCTAAAGCTAAGCTAGAGCTAAGCTAAAGCTAAGCTAAGGCTAAGCTAAGGCTAAGCTAACACTAAGCTAAAGCTAAGCTAAAGCTAAGCTGAAGCTAAGCTAAAGCTAAGCTAATACTAAACTGAAACTAAGCTAAAGCTAAGCTAAAGCTAAGCTAACACTACGCTAAAGCTAAGCTAAAGCTAAGCTAAAGCTAAAGCTAAAGCTAAAGCTAAGCTAAAGCTAAAGCTAAAGCTAAGGCTAAAGCTCCCCGGGGACTGGGGGAACCGCGGGGCGGGGACTGGGGGAACCGCCCGGGGCGGTTTCCATTGCCCGGCCCCTTTAGCTAACAGAGTAAGAACCCTTCTAGGCAGAGCCTAGGTAGGGAAAAACGAATGTGCGCGGCGCGAAGGCGAGAGCCACCTTTTGAAAACGACCCGCCCTCATTCCGTGAAGCTTTTTTGCAAATGTTTAAAACGAATGTGCGCGGCATTGAGGCGATAGTCACATTTTGAACACCACCCGCCCTGAGTCCGTGAAACTCGTCCAGTGTTTTACAAAGAAGGTGCGCGGCGCTACGGCGAGAGCCACATTCTGAAAACGACCCGCCCTCAATCCGTGAAACTCTCGCAAATGTTTAAAAGGAATGCGCGCGGTGCTAAGGCGAGAGCCACATTTTGAAAATGACCCGCCCGCAATATGTGAAGCTCTTGCACATGTTTAAAACGAATGTGCGCGGTGCTGAGGCGAGAGCCACAGTTTGAAGATCACTCGCCCTCTATCTGTGAAGCTGCTGTCAATTGTGAAGCATCAGGGCCATCTTTTGTAAGGAAGTCTCAGGCGAAGCGCCCGGCCCGCCCTTTCGACCAGAGTTATTTATAAGGAGAAGGGATGGAGGAGAAGGAGAAGGAGGAGGAGGAGGAGGAGGAGGAGAGGGGGGCAGCTCTCCACGCTTGACCAGCTGGCCTACTCTCTAGAGGCACCGGTTCTGCGCCAAGCAGCACCATACGGTCGGACCGAGGTATAAGATCGAAGTCGGGTTCGGGGAGGGTATCCTAATGTTCTTCGTGCTTGTTGAATGTTTTGGTGCATCCTGGGGAGGGTGCCCTTGCATGTTCTGTATGTCTTGGCTGGCGGAGGGTTTCATGTTCTTGAAGGATGTTATTCTGTTCTAGGTCCGGCTATACTTTCTAGGTATACCAGTTCTGTGCCAAGCAGCTCCATATTCGATGGGGTTAATGCTATTCCGCCGACCCACCAAGCAGAGCAGCGTTGGGATCTCGTGGAAGGCCTCTGTGGGGGCCGTTTTGGGGCGTCTTGGGGCCTTTTTTTGGCCTCCTGGGGGCCTCTTGGGGCCTCTTGGGGGCCTCTTGGGGCCTCCTGGGCGCCTCTTGGGGCATCCTGGGGGCCTCTTGGGGCAGAAGCAGCTCCAGATTTGGGATTGGCATCTCATGATTGAATGCTTGTGTGCAAATGGAAACCCCTCTGGGTGGCCCGCGATCGCCTGGGGAGCGCCAGTGGCGAGTGCAGAAGCGATTCAAGCGTCACCTTCCTCTCCTGTAATTTTTCTGTTATGTTGTTCGTTCTCTTTCTCTCTTTCTCTCTTTTTTTTTTTTTCTCTTTCTCTTTCTCTCTCTCTCTCTCTCTCTCTCCTTCCCTAACAGCAAATGTGTTCGACCTGATCGACATGATCGCGTTAGGAAAATGTGAAAGCGAGCACTTTGGGGCCCGACCAATGAGCTCCCATCTCGGTTCCGACAGCGCTGATGTTCCAGCGAGGATTTTGATGGCTCTTCACTGTTCCGATTTTGACAGCGGAGCAGCCAGGAACGGAGCTGGTCGGCACGAACCTGGATGCTCATGTCAAGAGGGCGGGAGGGCATAGAACATGGGGTATATGGTATACGTGTGCTGCCCAGCGGGGGGGGGACCGTTTCGATCCGATGGCAAGGAGGGAACATCTAGGCCTCCTCGTCTCTGTTGTCCTGCTACTGTGCTGGGCCGCTGCCAGGAGCTCGCCCCCGTCACGCTGCTGCAGGCGCGCGGCGCCCTTAGAAGAAGCGGGTTGATTCAGGAGCCAGGGCTTGTTCCTACGCCTTCTTCTTCTTCTTCTCCTTCTCATTCGCCTTCCTCTTCTTCTCCTGCGTCGTTTTTCTTCTTCTTCTTCTTCTTCTTATTATTACGATTAGTATTATTAGTATTACTATTTCGTCTTGTTATTAGTAGTATCATTAGTAGTATTATTATTGTTATTATTATTATTATTATTATTATTATGATTATCCTTATTATTATTATTCTTCCTGCGTCACCCCCCTTTCTTCCTAGATTGCGACGTGAGCTTGGGGGAGGGGGTCGTCTACTCCGCGTGTATGTCTCGTGCACCAGGTGGCTGCCTTCTGCTGGCCTTGTGGGGCGGCTGGATGCCGAGTTCGACCGAGGGACCGAGCCCCGCTTGCGGGGTCCAGTCGGCCCGATTATCCCACACGTGTTGCTTACTTTTTCGTCTGTGATTTAAGCGTCGCAGTTTTGCTCCCTCTCGTTTCGTTCTCTTTGCCTGCGAGGAGTCAAGTCGTCTGCCGATCATCGCTCGAGCAGTTTGGTGGGGATGTCAGCTCTCCCTGGAGGGCAATGGAGACAAACACACATGTTGAAGGAACACGTGCCGAGCAGCAACAATAATGGATACCCCCCCGTGTGCCAAGGCGACGCTACATCTTCTCTCGTTCTCTCTGCCCGATGCCTGTGTCCACTTGGGCTCAAGTGCTCGGCCAATTTTGAACAACGCTTGGGCACATATGCTGGCCTTTAGGCCGTGCGCCCTCGACGCCGCGCGGCGGCTTGTCCGCAAGGTGCCTCAATCGTGCGACCTCCTCGGCCCGCGCCTGGCGCTTCAGGACGAGACCGAGCTCGAGGGATCGCTCGAGCTGGTGGTGGCGGCCGCGGCCTTCAACGTGGAGGAGGCACGGCGGCCGTTCCTGGAGCTCGTGGACCAGGCAGCTGCCGCGGAACCGTTGCAAAAAAGGCTGGGGGCGAAGACGGGGACCCGCTTCGCTCGGAAGTGCCGTTCGGCCCGCGGAGGAGAGCCGTCGCGGGCTGTAGGCGCGGTGGAAGTTCCGCCTGGTCGCGCAGAGATGGGAGCACCTTCGCTGGAAACGGCGCGGGTCCTGGCTGGACGTGGAGCGGGTGAATGACGGCATCGCGGGCCGCACGCGCATCAACGTGTGATTTCGCACGTG